TTTTTTTTTTTTTTTTTGGGCCATTTGAGTCATGTATGGTACCGATCAATAAACAGACTTTTTGGTTTGAGAGTGTCCTGGTTGGTTATTGATGCATATTCATTTTCCGTTCAAAACAATCTTTCCTAAGAATATTTGAGAGAAAGGTTATGAATGGGACACATTTTCCTTCAATCTATGGAGTTGTTACCCTGAGTCATGCCTATCCTTTACCCTAACCCCAAAATTTGTCCCCAGGTATTCCAGCCTGGCCCCATCTTCCTTAGAAGTTAACTTCACCCCTGCCCTCCCAACTGTTGTCCCTTACCCCTAGCTGTCATGAGGTTGTCAGATAGGTGGTCTTCCTGAGGCAGGGTTCCTGGGGATAGAGCCCAAGGTTAGACTGTTGAGGGAGGGGTGGGGAAAAGGTCCTTGCCTAGAAGGGGTCTTGGGTTGGAGGATCTTGGGGTGGTTATTGTTCCTGAACTGTGCCTTCCTATTTTCTATCTCTCCCCACCCCCATCATAGCAGCAGATCTGAGATCTAAACTAGCCCCCTGATGCTGAGGTCCCTGGATAGGAGATTGAGAGGAACAGGATTGTTTGCTATTGTTGACTTTTAATGTGGGCACTGAGGGAGGAGGACACCTATATGGAGGAGAAATAGAGCCCTTTTCAGACTCTAGCAGGGTAGTGCTACTCTTTCCAAGTCCCCTCTCTGCACCATTAAATGCYGTTGCCAAGGCTAGGCATGGTGGCACATGCCTGTAACCCCCACTACTCTGGAGGCTGAGGTAGCTGAGCCACTTAGTATACCCTGTCTCAAGATAATAAAAATGTGGATACCTAGTACTGGGGGGGGGGGGAGAAGTATTAGCATATATTAAGTCCCCTAGCCAGTATCCTTCATTTTCATCCCAGGCAGRTAGCTGAGACTTTAGACCATTCTATCACTATGGTCTCTGAATCTGAAGCAGATCCTGAAAGACCTGTACCTCCACCTCACCTCTCCATCTGGTGGGAATACAGTGAAGGAAAGGACTGCCTGGCTACCCCCCCATCCTCTAACCTGCACAGTTACCTTGGTCCTACCCTGCTGCCAGCCCAACTTCTCATATCCCCAGTGCCTTGGTACCAAAGAACTGCATTTTCACATACATCCTCCTCTAAACCTGGCCTGGCAAGGACATTAACCAGCCAGATGCTACCACCAACTCACCCTAAGAGTGCCAGGTAACACTGCAGTGGGTCCATGTCATTAGGAGCACAGCTGGCCTTTTGTTCTGAATGTGTGCCAGTGTATGTATGTTCATGACTACTGAGCTGGGCGAGGGCCTGCTTTCATCTAACAGAGGGTATACATGTCAGAATGTATATGTGGGCATGCCTCTATGTGTGTTTATGTAGATGCTAAATTTATGCAATTGCTTAGTATTATAAGTGCTCTCTCTATCTATATCTATCTATCTATCTATCTATCTATCTATCTATCTATCTATATACACACCAGGCCTAATTCTAGATACTAGGGGTATGATATTGAACAAGGCAGAGGAAAGGCTTTAAGTACAAGAGGATGCATTGTTTAATGTATTGCTCAGCAGTCAGACTGTGTTGGGTTATTGGCCACTGGGGCAGTAGTTGTGTGACTGGGCTGGGCATTTCCAGGTTCACATCCTGTATGTGTATTTGTAGGGGGTGGTCATGGGAAAAGGTAGATTGCCCTGCCCTGTTTCAGGGAAGAGAGTTGGCTAGAGAGACAGAGGAACCCACTATTTAAACTCAGGAAATACAGTGGCCAGCCACTTCCTCTGGAGCTCCAGATCTGGCTCCTCCTCATTTTCTCCCAGTGGGCCCTGTATGGAAAGCCCCTGGTGAAGAGGAATTGATGGGGTAAAGGGAGGAAGAAACCCTCCAAGGCCCTCATGCCCTCTATTTCCAGGTGCAGGCATGGGCCCATTCTCAGTCAGGCCCCAGCTTGCCACTGAAAAACTTGTCTCAGACTGTGAACCCTAGCCAGGGTCCCTGAAGCCTAAAAGTCTTGGCCTAGAACCCAACTCCAAACTTCTTTCCCTTTCCACCGAATGTCCAGCTCAGCCTGACCCCAGCTCCCTCCCTATGTTTCCTGGTCTAGTCCATACTGCCTGACCTCCACCCACTTTCCTAGTACTCTCATCTAGTCCAGCACAACCTCCAGCTCTTTTGATAGCTTCAGTCCWGCCCAGCCTGACTTCTAACCTGTCTTCAAAGGGAGGACTCCAGTCAGCCCCTTCCTCAAGCCACTTTCTTTCTTTTTCTTCTTCTTCTTTTTTTTTTTAATATTTACTTTTTAGTTTTCAGTGGACACAACATCTTTGTTTGTATGTGGTGCTGAGGATTGAACCCGGGCCTCATGTATGCCAGGAGATCGCGCTACTGCTTGAGCCACATCCCCAGCCCCCTCAAGCCACTCTCCCTAAGATGAAAAACTAAGCAGCCTTCCCAGGATCTCTCCCCATCCCCCCACACCCAGCCCTCTTTCACTTAGTAGGGCCTTATCTTGGGAATTGGTAGAAGTAGACAAGAAGGTAGGTTTGGAGCTATAGCCTGGAAGAGGGGAAGGGGGAGGATACAGGGACCAGAGATTCTGAG